AATACCAATTAGGCTTGGAAAAGAATATTTTGAGGATTTAAATAAAATTGTTTTGAAGTATATATGGCAAGGCAAGAAAGCAAGAATAAAGTTAAAGCTTTTACAGGATGCTAGATTTAGAGGAGGGTTTGGTCTGCCTAATTGGGAGTTGTACTACCAAGCTGCAAACTTGACGTGGGTTAAAGAATGGATAACATTAAGGAAAACCAGATTGTTGACATTAGAAGGTCATGATTTGTTGTTGGGCTGGCATGCTTTTTTATGGTACAAGGGAACTAAAACACAGGGGTATTTTAGAAGACATTATATACGGGAGTCTCTGTGGTTGAATTGGGAGAAGATAAAAAAACAGTGTTATTTGAAAATTCCAGTTTGGTTATCGACGATAGAAGCGTTTTCTTATCCTATAATTTATAAAAAGGAACAAACAGTTAACTATGGGGAATTATTAGATGAAAAGGGTGAACTTAAATCGATGCAAAAATTGGAAGAACAAGGTATACAGATGAATTGGTTTTCATATTTGCAAATACATTCAAAGTACTATGAGGATTCCAAAGCAGAGGGATTTTATGATAAGCAAACTGACTTGGATAAGATTTTGATGGGTACTGATGAAAAGGTGATTAAAAAATTGTATGGTTATTTATTGCAAATTAAGCTTGAGGAAGAACAAGTTAAAGAAACTATGATTGCGTGGGGGAGGAATTTTGGATATGGGATTGATTTAGAGAAATGGCAGAAATTATGGTCGCAAAATTATAAAATGACAATGTCTACAGCCTATAAAGAAAACTTGTATAAGATGTTTTACAGGTGGCATTTTCCCCCGACAAGGATAGCAAGAATGTTCAAGAACAAATCCGAAAAATGCTGGAAATGTCATCAGAAACCTGGTTCATACTATCACATGTGGTGGACTTGTGAGGATGCTAGAAAATATTGGACTAAAATCCACATGTGGCTGGAAAAAATGACAAAGAAGCATATAGACTTGAAACCGGAGTTTTTTCTATTGGGAATACTACCAGATACTTATAGTAAAGAGTTGAAATATTTGATTGTAAATGTATTGACTGCTGCTAGGATTGTATTTGCAAAAAATTGGAAAAATGAGAAAATTCCATTGCAAGAAGAAGTTGTAAAGAAAATTTTGGAATGTGCTGAGATGAGTAGATTGACTTTTGAAATTAGAGAGCAAGAAGATAAACAATTTTATTTAGTTTGGGATCTTTTCTATCAATGGTTGAATGATGAAATATTAAAATATAAAAGTTAGATAATAAGGAATAATAATGACTTTATTTTCCCTTTTCTTTTATTGGTTTTTGATACTATATCTATATAATAGTTTTCTTTGTTTCTTTCTTTTTCATATTTGGGATAGAATTGGTATGATTATAAGATTTGTTTTAGAATAAAATATTTAAAATATAGTTATCTCATAAAGGCATGATCGAATAAAAGTTTAGTCAAATTTTTTTTTTTTCTTTAATAGCGATACTAGGATTTATAAATTTGTATTGATAAGAGTATTATATAAAGTAACTGTAATTGTGACTATGAGGTGAATGCACAAAACCGATGGACCAACCGACTTACTGTGTGTACAAAAATATGGGGGAGCTGATACTTTTATGTTTTGTTGTTGTGTTTTTTATGTTAAAAAAATAATAAAAATTTATAAAATAATAAAAAAAAAAAAGACTAGGTGCAAATACCTCATCACAGTCATTGGCACTTTGTCTAAAACCTTGGGCTACTAATCTTGCCTTATGGATTATATTTCCATCCTTATCAGTTTTTATCTTAAAAATCCATTTGCAGCCAATGGGTTTTATATGGGTAATCTCGCATTTTCATATACTTTCATCTCCTTTAAGGATTTCAATTCCTTATTCATTGCTGCATACCAACTTTCCTTATCTTTAGAAGGATACATTTTAATTTCATCCACAGTATATGGAACCTTATTAACCTGGCACACTGTGTTAGCCTGGTATCTATCAGGCGGTCTAGATATACGTGTAGTTCTTCTGGGAATTACAGGGCTTGTATGAGGACTTTTTTGAGTTACTATCTGTTCCTGTTCCTCAGTTTGCTCAGCTATTTCTTCCTTTATGGGCTCTATCTCTTCCTGTACTTCTCTTTTTACTTTATTTTTAAAGTTACAGGGATAATTAATGGGATTTCTATAGGATTCAATAATCACTTCTTTATTGTTATCCTGTTCTAACTTATCCCATCCTACGTGCTCTAGAAATTGGGCATTAGCACTACATAACACCCTAGATGTGCCTTTCTCCCAAAATCTATATGCCCTATGGTTAGCTTGGTAACCAACGAAGAAAAATTGTTTAGCTCTGTGTTGCCCTTTACGCCTGAGTTGTGTAGGGATATGCACCCATGCTGGTGCACCAAATGTGTGCAGGTAACTCAGATCAGGCTTCCTGCCATGCCACATGGTGAATGGTATTTCACCAGTAGTTGAGTTAACAACGTTGTTCAATATGTTATTAGCACACATTGCAGCCTCCCCCCACAAAGAATCAGGTAATCCAGAATCAGTTAACATTGTTCTAACCATTGCCTGTAGTGTTTGGCCTCTTCTCTCTATAAATGTGTTGTGTTGTAGTCTGTATGGTGCAGATTTCTTGTGCTCTATTCCAGCTACCTTTAATCTATTCTGGAATTTGCTGTTAACAAATTCCGTACCATTATCTGTCACCAGGGTTATCAGTTGCCGTTTAGTCTTTCTTTCTGCAAACTTTAACCAGTTGAAGAAATGTTGATATGTTTCAGTTTTGCTTTTCATTAGGTAGCAAAACCCATATCTAGAGTAATGGTCCATAATGCTCAGTATATATCGAGCACCCCCCATACTGGGTTTCTTTGGACCTATAATGTCTGCAAATACTACTTCTAAAGGTTCTTTAGTTTTGAAACCATTTAGCCTATTTGCAGGCAATATTTTACTCTTATCTTCACAGCAGACGTTACAACGCAAATATTTATCACAGGGTTTTAACCTTATTCCTTCAGATAACTCTACTGTACGTTTTAGCATTTTAAAATTTACATGCCCCAAACGCCTATGCAATAAATGGATACATTCATTATGAGGCTTTATATTGTTAAATACAGTCTGTGCCTCCCCTTTCTTACTATCATGTAAGACATACAATGTTCCATTTTAAAGCTGCAGTTACTCTTTTGTTATCTTTATCAAGTGTGCACTTATTATTCTTAAATGTAACTACATAACCTAGTTTATCTAATACTCTTACAGAAAGTAAGTTCATCTTTAACTGTGGTACATACAACATTTTTATATTCTGGTTTAAGCATGGACAGTATGCAATACCTTCACCCTTGGCCTTGAGGTGCCAGCCGTTAGCGAGTGATATATGTTGAGAGCTTGTAGACATTTTTATAAACTTTGTCTTATCTCTCGTGATGCAGTGGGATGCACCACTATCCACCACCCATAAATCACTCTTCACATCACAGTTGCTAAACGTGGCTAGTTCAAAGGATTTCTTTGGCTTTTTTACATTCTGGCGTTTTTCTTTTCTGCAGAATCTTGCCAAATGTCCTCTGCCTCCACAATTAAAACACTTTTTAATTGTGTATGCCGTAGAAGATAAATTCTCTTCTTCCGGGTGCTTTACTTTACTAAGTTGGTTTCTTTCAAGCTTTGAAGATAATTTCTCTTCTTCATTAGGCTTATCTTCTCTCAGCTGGTCACGTTCAAACCTTCTTCTGGCTTCTTCTAATAGCCTACCGGTAATCTCGGTTACTGATAAACTGTCTTTTGGCAATACCTCTAAAGCAGTCACAAAATCATCATAGCTTCGATCCAAAGAAGACAGTATAATGTATACTTGTTGCAACTCATTAAATATAAGCTCTTTTTCTTGTAACTCCTGAAAAATGCTTTTCATACAGTTTAAATGAGTTAACATGTCTCCATTCTTCTCAAGATGTGTTCTAAACAGCTTCCGTGTAAGATTAATATGGGCTCCTACACTGTCTCGAACATAAATCTTCCTGAGACTCTCCCAGCAGTTAGCAGCATTTTCCTCTCCACGGATATGAATGAGTTGCTGGTCTGAGAGAGTTAGTCCTATGATGCATAAAGCCTGCTCATTCTTTCGTTCATAGTCTTGTATCTTTTTGGCATCCTCCTCAACAGTAGGATCTAAGTTAGATACATCTGGTGGGTTTGTTATTATGTCCCACAAACCTTCTCTTCGTAGAAGTAAACTACATTTCATTGACCATGAAACATAGTTTGTTCCATCTAGTCTGGATATCATGGATAGACTTGGCAAATTTACTTGTGCCATTGCTCTTCAGATATATAACTATTTAACAAACAATTTGTTTTTACAGTAATGTGCAACTCACACCAACTCTCACTGCTATAACCTGGTTAGTTAGACTGTGCTCACTGCTGGGCCCATAATCAATGTTAGTGTTTTGGGCATAAACCCCCAAGCAGAGTGCACAGCAGCAGTCAGGCCAGGCAGCCAAATGAGAGAGAGGCTGGGCCCAAGAGTATACACACACTGGAGACAAAAAACACTGTTTGTAGTTTTAAATAGTTATTTAATTCATTTAGAGTTTAAGCATTGTCACCCAGCCTCTCTCTCATTTGGCTGCCTGGCTTGACTGCTGCTGTGCACTCTGCTTGGGGGTTTGTCCCCAAACACTAACAATCATGATAGTTAAAGCAAATGGAAGCAAAGTTCCACATTTAAAGGTCCCGTTTTGCCCATCACTGCATTATACAGTAGAAATAGTTGGATTCGAATGTGCATAAGAACTTACCATGGAAGTTTTGTAAAGCTGAATAATCTACCACCCAAATTTATTCTTTCCTCAGTTTTCTTTGTTTCAAAATTGGTCTGTCCCCATAATTCTACCTTGCTTCAACACTTAGGATTTTTACTCTTTAAATGGTGATTTACTAAGAATAAATGAGAATATAATTGTACCAGTTGTGCTTGAGTGAGATATTTCTTCCACCAAAGGTATTTACGCATGGATGGAATGACTGACAATCCATAGTAGGAATACATGAGGATGTGGATAAAACTATTCAAAGTGGGTCCAAAGAAGCCTGTGAAAACATAAATATGTTGTCATATTTATTATAAAATACTTCTTTCTGTGAAGCAGCGTTATACTTAAGTGACAATTTATGACACTTCAAACATTACCGTTTTCTTAGTACTGAAGAATACATCTTGATTTCTGTGGCCGCCTGCAGTCTTCCATGATCCTCTATTCAACTATTGCCGAATGTTTATTCGGAGTCAGACCCATCTTTCACTCATGTTTACTAAAGGTATTGTTACACACACACACTTTTTTTTAAATAATGCAGATTGGCAATCAGACACATTCTACAGGAAAGTTTTCCAAGTATGTTGTTTTGCACTATCTTAATTGACATCTTTATATACTCACTTTGTCCACAAGGTATCCAGTTCATGACGCACCACCAGATGTTAAACATACTGGCATGATGATAAACATGAAGAAAAGTTATTTGATTGTTTTTCTTTCGCAAAACAAAGAAAACAGTGTCAGCAAATTCAATGACTTTGGAAAAGTAATACCACCACAACACCTGGGCCACCTGCAAGAAAGAATTTGCAAAATTAATCATCTCATCTTATAACAACATATTCAGTTAATTTAAAGAAACCGTAGGAAAAAATACTAATTCTTTCTGAAGATACTCTACAGTAGCTGAAAATAAAATTTAATGTTACTGGAAACATATTTGTATTTTAATTATTAGTCTGTCTCTTTACTTCTAAGAAGGTGCCCAATGGCTTTTAGCAAAGGCAAAAAATGTTGCGATATGTTGTGATATGTCGCGTGACTTGGTTGAGTTTGACACCTGTGCTCTACATTGACTTACTACATTGACAGCCTCAGTTTCTAGAAGTAATTATATAGCCTGACAATAACCATTTGTCCTTTGAACAGACACACCTAAATGGATGTAGGAAAAGGAAGGTGCTTGGACTACGATGTCAAAGATGTAACTGCTCATTCTCACCTTATGCACAGTGCTTCTTTACCTAGGCAAGGAAAGACATGACACTGTGTGGCAAAACATGTATGGCATAACGGAGCTTAGTAAAACTATTTTTAGGAAAATAATTTTGGTGACAATTCTGCTAATAAAAAGCAAACAACCTTTACAAGAATTTTAAGATTAGGAAAATGAATCTTGTGCACAAACAAGAAGTAAGAATAAAAATAAGGCAAACAAAAATTCCCATCACTGGAATTTAAGTACACGGAAGAGTTTTCCCTAGGCTCTTGGATCAAGAGGTTAGGTGAGTTCTACTGCTGATGTGATTATTTTTTTTATGATTGGGATTATTGGTTTGATCTTGGGCACCATGGGTTATATAGAACATCTGTTTTTAATCCCTGTACATCACCCAAAGTCACTGTTGTAAAATGGACAGTCATATAAATCAAACATAGACAATGCAATCGCATACATGACTGTCCAAAATAAGCACCAAGAAATTCAGGGGAACAGTAACTGCTAAGGTTGTTGAAATCTGTACAAAACATTTATTACAGCAGATGTTTTTAACTTAATGCTCTCCTGATGCATTAAGACTCTTGTGGGGAATTTTAGGGATTCAGATCCTACACCTATGCAGATTGATTGCTCGGGTCAGATGCATTAAAGCATGTGCGAAAACCTTGTTCCCTGCTAAGTTTCGTTTACCCTGATGTCCGTTTCTCCTGCGCTGATCAAGTTCTGACATTGTAAGTTATAATTTCCTTCCCATGTAGCAAGAATCAGCTGAAAGAAAAAAACATATTTATTACTCTGAATGAAAATGCAGTAGTTGCTTTAATAGTTTTTACATTTTCAATGTGTTTTATTCTTTTTGGTTATTATTTGTTTTTAATTTTGTAAGCCTCCCAGAGTCATATATATGAGATGAGCGCCTGTATAACTAGAACAAACATAAATAAAACTATATTAATTATGGCATGCACTTGGGATTTAAGTAAGAGATAACTTCAGTTTTAGGCATATTAAAAACATATTCTTTCAAATATCCCAAAGGTGCTTTTTCAAGAGGCAACTGGACTTTCTGGTTTTTCTTTGAGGATATTTTGCTTCTCATCCAAGAAGCTTCTTCAGCTCTTCATTCAAATAGTTTCTAACAGTATTGATTTCACAATACTGCACTTAATTCTCTGGCAATCTTCCTTTCCATTTTTATTCAGATGACTGGAACTGTTCAATTTCCAAAAGCTATAATTGAACTGAATTATAATACAGTGACCTTTGTCAAGAATATTAACAAAAATTTGCAGCCTAATGCAAAATTGAAATGTTTAAATTTACCATAATCTTTCAAAAGTAAACTCCATTGTTATTTTGAATGTGAGGAAAGTAGGGATTTTGTTAATCAAGTAAGATGTGTCTTCTCTTACAAGATGTCTAAGCATAGTATCATTGTTTATATTGGTAGCTTACCAAAACGTGAATTAGATTTTTGTTGGCAAAGGGAGTAAAGGATTTTGGAATTTTTCAAACAATTTTCAGACCCATTCTTCTCTCTTTTTAATTATTATTTATTTTTGAAGTAAATTTATTTATTTAGAAAAATTGATATAGCCACTCAGCTCACAATGATTCGGTTGGCTTACAAAAATAAAAATCTCAATACAAAAGCCAAAAAAAACCCCATGCCCATGGTGACAATAATCAAACTCGATGGGCTCCATATTACCCTGGGGTCCCCAGGTCAATAGGCAGAACCATATCTTCAGGACCTTTTCGAAGAGTGTGAAAGTGGGGATCTTTTTTTCTGTTGGGATGATGTATCACAGGGAAAAGTCAATCATGGAGAAGGTCTTCTTGGTTCCACTAATGAACGTCCTGAAAGAGTGGGGTCTGTAACATTCCTTGCCTCCTGGCTCTGGTGGGTAACATAGATAGAACTGGGAAAAACCGGTCCTTATTAATAGTTTGATGTATCCGTATTTTTATTTTGTTAATTATGAAGCATAATAAAGTTAGTAAAATAAGCATTGATACAAAAATCTGGAAATCATGAAACAGAAAAAACTTTAAAACAAGAAGTGGCAGGCGCATAAAAAAAAGATCAAATGCAATTTCATATAGAGGTATAAATCCACTATTCTCGCAATCTGAGGGAATGGCTCATTATTTGACAGTGCCCCTTGCCTCTGTGAAATGAACCTGTTTGGCCAGAGGAATTCAGAGGAAGCTGATGAAAAGAGCAACATGATTTTTGCCTCTTGAGATATATTTTTGCAGGAGCCTAATGGAGTGCATATTTCCTAGTCATAATAACAGCCTTTGTATCATTTGTCATGCTTGCAAGTGGCACAAAGTCATGAAGGCAGGCAAGAAACCTGAGAGTTTCTGTTTTGTGGATTCAGCTGGAAAGCTTAACTAAAAAGCTGATAAAGCTAAAATCCTAGAACCAAGTTTGCAAGGAACTTTCTTCGGTGTTCCTTATAGTCCTCTCTTTCACTGCTAGGATTAATTCTCTTGTCGTAAACAATTTCCATTTCACATGTAGTCTGGAAGGATGACAGACATAAATCAAGAGTTCTTCCTTTCTAAATTGTTATTCTGCAATTATTTTGTATGAGTCAGCAATTTGTTTGCTACAAAATTCTGTTTAGTCAAAAAGCAAGAGTTCTTTATGGCTTTCTTAAACCCATAACATACATTGCGAACATTCAAGAGGGCAGGCCAGCTACCACGAATAAAGATCAAATAAATGTAGTCCACCTTGACTTCAGAAGGGAACTGGCAAAAGATATAAACATCTGGGTGAGTCACTCAGTTTTTTTTACTCTAATATTCATTTGTGGCTGAGAACCACTGACAGAAACCTTCCTGTGTAAATTCTGCTCATTATTGGGTTGATTTTGGCAGGTGCCTAGAGTTGTTATGGAGCTGCTTGAAGTGCAAATGGTCCACAAATGTTCCATAAGGTCTTGATTTCGAAATGGTCAGCATTCCAAAATACATCTGGACTGCAATCTAAAACTCCAAACTTACTTATCTTACTTATTATTATAATCTCTTTCTGTAATGCATGAATGTAGACAATATGAAACTTTTTTTTCTTTGTGGTGGTATTGTGATGAGGTAGGATAAGACAAGTGTTTCAACCAAATCCAAGATTAATTAATGCTGAAAGGACATGTTTGTTTCTTTCTTTTCAGGTGGATTCAGAAAAAAAGGTGGAGAAAATCAGTGCAGAATCCAAAAAGCAAACCTAGGCCAAGAGAGGAGGTCCTTCATCATCGCTTTGTTCAAGGAGCAATCCAGATTTCCTGCTCTGCTTTCTATGTAGGTTACCTATTTTTAGTTGCTCTTCAAAGAGAGAGTTTAATCCATGATTTTAGATGGACTGCTGAGATATAAGGCAGGCAGTACTTACAAGACCACAGCTCCTCTATCCCAGAAAAATAAATTACTAGAATATAGTGTATGCTGTACCCTAAGCTAAATAATCAAAATGTGGTCATTGTCATCCATGAGAGAATGTTATCGCACAAAGTGATGTGAATTATGTCTAAAACTAGGCATTATTTTGTTTTTTAATATGTCAATGGTAATTGTTACTATTAACCTGACTGTTTTACAGTATCCCTAGAATATTCAAAATTCTGACATTTAAGCATTCAGTGGAAGACTAAGGAAAGTCTTCCTTAGTGCATTTGCCTGCACTTTAGCTAAAAAAGGACTTGTCAATTCTCACATACTCTAATGGCAAGAGCCACTATTTAATTAGGTAGTGGTTGACATTCAGATTTAGATAAATAGGAACAGCTATACCCAACTATGTGTTATTGTAGGAAATAAGACATTGTAGAAATATTATTTTTAAACAGTCATAATTGCATTAGAAAAAAGCAGTGTACTGGGGATATTTGAAAGTATGCAATTTGAAACACCCAAATGATCAAGAAAGTTCTCTATTTTGATAGATTAGATAGAGATAGAGAGAGATAGAGAGATAGATAGAGAGAGAGAGAGAGAGAGAGAAATACATGCCGATAGATGATAGACAGGCAGGCAGGCAGGCAGACAATTCCTTCCTCATTCCTGTAGGCCTTCCTCAATCTCACATCCTCTACCAGTAGCCTGGGAGTTTGAGGGTTCTGTGCAGTATCTTAGCTGCTCCTAGTACTGCACTTTTCTGGACAGAGAGCTCTGAAGTCATTCTTAGGAACTGTTAGGAGTGTTTCTACCACCACTGGGATTACTTTGGCCTTTACTTTCCATATCCTCTCCAGTTCCTCCTTCAGACCCTGGTACTTCTCCAGCTTCTCCACACTCCTTCTTCCTGGTGTTGCTGGCACTTAGCACTGCTACATCTATCACCACTGTTGTCTTCTGGTCTTTTTCTATTACCACAACTTCTATTAGCATGGCTTGCTGTTTATCTGAATCTTTCCTACAGAATATTAGCCCTCTTATTCTCCATGACCCGTGGAATCTCCCATCTGAATTTGGGAGGATCTAGCTCATACACTGTGTGGATGTTCCTGTATACAATGCCAGATACTTAGATGTGCCTTTCGTGTGTATGCTGTCCTGCCTACATCTTACACCCTTCCATGATGTATTGGACTGTCTCTGAGGTTCCACTGTACATTTTGAACATTGGGTCCTGTCTAGAGTGGTACACCCTTGCTTCTATGGGTCTAATGCTCAGTGTCTGTTCTTACGTCTCTATGAACAATGCCTTGGTGTTGTTGTTTTTTACTTCTATTGAATCATAGAGATCACAGAAATTAAAAGAATAGGCGTTCCTGAATGTACAGTATAGAATAGATGCATTTAAAACATCTCTCAATTTCACTTTGAGAAGGTTGAAGTCAAGTTGACCCAAATATTCTTATAAAACCCCAATCAGTTGAATAAAAAGCCAAGAAAAGAAAATTGAAAATTCTTCGGTTAAGAAGACATACCTCTATCAGCATGTAAAACGATAGCACTGTGACACCAAAGTTATACACAATAAGAAGGCCCCTGAGTGACAAAGCAGGCCTATTCTTCATAAACATGGTGCCCAGCCATATGAAGAGCAGATATAGGATGGTGAGAGCAAAAGTAGGTAAGTATGAATCCAGCAGAAGCCACCCTCTCACCCTGGGATCTGAAGAAATGACAACAAAACATACCCAATAAAAAAAAATAATTAATCACCACGAGCAGTTCTTGCTTGTTCTTCTAATACCTAATTAAATTGTTATATCATTGTATATTATATTACGATTATAATATACATACTCACACACACATACAAACATGCATTTGTATTGGCACATTAAAAATAAATAAATAAATGTATGGGAAGCAACTATCATATCCTAGTCATACTAGTGTAGCTAAGCTGGTGTCATGCCCTTGGAAGAGTCGGACTCTGAGGGAGAGGAGGAACATATAACAGGGAATGGAGGTGTGGCTCTGGAGGTTGCGGAGGAGGCTAGGGAAGGGCAGAGGCTGGCTGGGCAATCAGAGGAAAAACCAGGCCCATCCCCTCTTCATCCTAGGACACGCAGGGAGGAACGGAGAAGGAAACAACCTGGCTTATGTGAGAGGAAGCGGCCATGATCCCCACTCATTGGTTGCAGCTGGGGGGAATAGTATATAAGAGAGACGGTTAAAACACAGCGTTGCCAGAAGCAAAGCGTGTTTTATTCTGGGCTGAAGTGATCTTGGTTGGCATCCTTCAACAGACTGTGCCTTGTTATCACCTTGAAGTTAGTAATTACTTATCCTGGTCCATTGTGGAAATTCTTTCATTGTAGTTTGTTTTGGTTTTTTATTTCACCTCTGTCTGCTCATTAAGTTCAGACTGTATTGCTTTCTTTTGAAGACTATTTTTGAGTAAGTTTTATCTCCAACTGAGAATTATTAAACAATGGGGCCAAGTTGGGGGCATTAAAGGACATTTATTTACATTTTGGGTTTTGTTACATTTTTGTTACACTCTGAGTCATCACAGCTGTCCATCACCACACAGAGGGTTTATTTCCAGAAAATATTGGGCTTGGGCAAATTATTCAGATATCATACAGATAGTCCTTGACTTACAACAGTTCATTTAGTGACCATTCAAAGTTACAAGGTAGTGAAAAAAGAGACATGACCATTTTTCACACTTATGAACATTGCAGCATCCCCATGGTCATGTGATTTACATTCAGAGGCTTGGCAACTAACTCATACTTATGATGGTTGCAGTGTTCCAGTGTCATGTGTTCTCCTTTTGTGACAAGCAAAGTCAATGAGGAAGTCAGATTCACTTTACAACCATGTGACTAAGAAGTGCAGTGATTCACTTAACAAGTGAGGTGAGAAAAGTTGTAAAATGGAGCAAACTCACTTAACAAATTTCTCACTTAGCAACATAAATTTGGGGTACAATTGTATTCGTAAGTTGAGTAGTTCTTTGATGTACTGTAAATGATTTTGTTTAAACTTCAGATAGTCCTCGACTTAAGGCCACAACTGAACTTAGAATGACAGTCCTTAAGTTGTTGCTGTCGTTAAGCAAGGCACATATGCCATCCCAGTTCTCCCCATTGCAGTCATTTTGCAAAATATGATATGCCTCAAGGGGTTGGGGAGGCCCTAGATTGCAAATGGTCGTAAGTCAAGGACTACCAGTATAAGGTATGGCTGCTAAATGTATCATCATAAACTGGAAGTAGAAAATAACTTATCAGAATCCAGTGGTTTTGATTGTTGAAAGTTTTAAACTAAACCAAAAAACTTTTTACCTATCAGTAAAATAAGCTTAGGTTCCTGAGATCTCTTGGAGCTACTATCCCTGTTTAGGAGCTACAACCTTGAGTGCTCCTACCACTCCTGGGGACATTTGGCCTTTACTTTCCACAACTACTCCAGTTCCTCCTTCAGGCCCTGGTACTTCTTTGGCTTCTCATACTTACATACACACACACGCATGCACAAACAGAGTATATGATACATAATAGAGAAAGAGACAAATTACAAATTTATTCATTTCAGGCTTGACTACTTGCTCAATTCTATATAAGAATGTACATGAAAATTCCTAAAATCTTGTCTTAATACATGCTTTATGGTAAAAGACTTTCCTAGTCCTTATACCAGAAAATATTTTCTTCAATATATTATTGTATAAACGTGTGCGCTTTGCCCTAATACATACATTTTGATTGGCTTACAAATTCTAAAACCTGTGCTCCAATTGCTAATAACGACAAATCAACCGTCCATTAGACAATTCAATATTTTGTTGGTCCTTCAATTCAGTCTATTTCCACATGTGTTTCACTAGCATATACTTAATTGCAAAGAAAATTGGGTGCTCCTCCCTTATGCCCGTGTGCCGTTGCTGTTATTTTGAGCTGCATGGGTTACTGGTTGGCCTCAATTGAAGGCACCGTTCATGGAGCAGTTCATGGCAAAGGGCCTGCTTATCTGAAGGGCCACACATCTCCAAATTTTCTGCCCATGAAATAAACCTGGTCAGAGCAGGTGTGTTCCAGGTTCCCTCCATTAAATGTTTTCATCTTGTGGGACTGAAGAAATATGCCTTCTCTGCCAAGACTCCTACAGCTTCTCCCCGTGAGCTGAGCAGAGGTAATAATCTTAAGAGACAGAAGGAAGATAAAGGAAGGTAGGGGGAAGAGAATCCAGACTTGCAGGGTTATGTTACTATACCTTTATAATAAAAGTAATATTGGCACACGTTACGTTGGTTTCCTAGTGTGCTCGACTTCATTCTTTCAAGTGTTCTAGAGACTTACTTGTGCTCCCCAATGTTAGGATTAGGGTGCTTGTGGAACTCCATTGATTTTTTTTTTTTAAAAATATTACTTAGGTGGTTTGGTCCTGGTGGTCATGTTTCTTAAATTATGTACTTTCAAATGTTGTAAGGCATCCAGAAACTTTTTGGGGTCAGGCCATTTCAAAATCCAACACACACAAACACAAAAAAAAACAGAGGAGAAGTAAACTAGCCATACGAACTGGATCTACAAAATCTGTTTCCTGATTTCCGTCTAAGTGAGAGGGAATGGAAAAGAGAATTCCTTTTTTCACATACCCAAGTGTATTTCTTATCCCTCTTGAACATTCCCAAATTACAAAGAAATGAAGAAAATTTTTTGAAGTCAATGAAACCTTGCCAAATTTCACATTTTAAATTATCATAATCCTATTTTTTATTACTCAGCATGGTGAAAGTAAAAGAAAAGAATAGAATTTCTAAGGCTCTCCATCACTTACTGTGCCCAGTCATTTAGATAAAATTTTCAGTAATACTTCTAAATAAATCATTAGGCAGCCAGAAAGCTCCAGAAAATGCATACCTCTATCTCCAAACATATAATCCACAAACTCATTTACTTCTTGATCAAAAGCCTTCAGCTGTTCCTAAAAGGTAACAGAAAACAGAAATTGTATTACATTCTATATTACATAATGAACAAAATTCATTATTTGTTCATATTCATATCAAAGATGATAGATAGACAGATGGACAGACAGACAATGACAGCATCCTATGATTGAGAACAAACAATCAGCAGTCCTAAATCTTTCCTGCTTTGTGTTTTTTTTTAATTAAAATGATTAGTACATCTTAAAAAGTACAGAAAAGGCGAATGAGCAAAGTACGGTATGAATGCATGTAACCTGAGAATGCAAACAATTTAACAATCCATTTTCAATATTTATATCTAAAAACCATTTGTATGTATGAAGAACATATATTGAGAAAAATTTAATAAGCTAAAAAATAGACATCAGATTTGAATAACATTGTCTTTAATCATGAGGCTCTTCAATGCTCTTCACTATTGTGTTAAGTTTTAAAACAAGCCAAACCACAGTTTTGAGGTCAATGATATAAAATAAAGAAATAAATATTTTGGCTTTCCAGTGTTTTAACACTAATGCATCTGGAAGCTAACAACAGAAACAATTAATTTCTTACCTTCATAATCTTCATAAAAATGAACAGAAATTAGAGAACACATTCAAATAAAAATTGTTCAGTGATTTCAAGAATAGGCTATCTGGCATTAAAAGCAATCTAGGAAGAGTAGAATTTGCACAATAACATTTTAGAAGAGATTGTGATACTTATGGAATTTTTAATGGCATTATTGGTTGAAAGGGATCTTTTGCCACAATAAGCATGATCTGATTTGCTCAAGTTCAAATTTCAAATCATTCTGTCAAAGTTTATTGAGATTTTAATGGTAGTTCTTTTGCTTGATATAAGAATTTTATATAATATTGAAGATCAATAAGGATTGCAATGGATAACATCTGGTAAACGTGAAATCTTCTACTGTAACTACTCTTTTTTGAAACTGAGTTAGAATTTGTGACTAGTCATTTGCAAAATATATTCAGATTACAGTGGTGGGATTCAAATTTTTTAACTACTGGTTCTGTGGGCATGATTTGCTGGGCGTGGCAGAGGAAGGATACTGTAAAATCTCCAGTCAGAGATGGTATTTGCCGGTTCTCCGAACTACTCAAAATTTCTGCTACTGGTTCTCCAAGACTGGTGAGAACCTGCTGAATACCACCTCTGATTCAGAATCAATATAGTCAATTATTACAAGGAAAAATCAAAGGAAAAGTAAGAGTAGAAGTATGGTAGAATCTCAAACACCAATTCTGTAATTAAGGAGGGTTATTGTACCAATCTACCAGTAGTAAATTAGAAACTAGCTAAACAAGCACAGATTAAATTGGAGCTATATGTTCTCAGTTTCTATTAGCAACCAAACAGAATTTAGCTATATTATGTAACTTTTTTGTTTTTGAAAGAAGGAACTAGATCTAATGATTGTCAGTTCAAGGGGGGGGGAAGGAATCATGAGTAGGACTAACAATAAATGGCCATTGGTAGAAGCTACCGTGAACGCTCTTTCTATCTATGCTGCGAGAGAGCCCAGGATGGGTTGACTCCTTCCTATGATGTCATTTAGCTGAGTCTGTACTAAGATATAAAAGCCAGCCTCCAGGAGAGACCCCAGCTTTGGCGAAGATATTTGAGAGACTGAAAGGTGTCTCTGAAAGCCCAAAATAAATACAGAAATATGTCTTACCCTCTCTGGATGAATCAAGGGAGGGGCTGGGCTCTCTCACAGCATAGATAGAAAGGGCGTTCACGGGAACTTCTACCAATGCCCATTCTCCTCCATGCTGCATCGAGAGCCCAGGATGGGACATACCAAAGCTTGCATGTCCATGGGCGGGTCCTCGTCCGGCTCATCACACCGACTGTGGAACCACTCGTTGAAGCACCCGTCTGCCGAAGGCTGCAGTCGCCGAGGCAAAAGCATCCAGACGGTAGTGTCTGATGAAAGGAGACAGGGATGTCCATGTGGCCACACGACAAATCTCCTCCAAGGATGCTTGGGTCGCCCAGGCAGCAGAAGTGGCCGTGCTTCTGGTAGAGTGCACCGTCAGACCTCGGGGAAACTGAAGGGCCGCAGCTTTGTAGGCCTGCTCAATGCAAGACCTGACCCACCTGCTAATAGTAGGAGAAGAGGCCTTGTGCCCCAAGTGAGAAGGGAAAAAGGAAACAAACATGGCTTCCGACTTCCTGAAGGAGGAAGTGCGCTTAATGTATATTCTAAGAGCCCTTCTTACGTCTAGCGTGTGCCACTGCTGCTCTAAGTCATGGTGCGGGAGAGGACAGAAGTCAGGCAAAACAATGTCCTGGGACCTGTGAAACCAAGTGTTAACCTTTGGAATAAATGAGGGGTCCAGACGAAGAACAACCCTATCATCGTGAAAGGAACAAAAGTCCTGTCTGATGGAAAGAGCAGCAAGCTCGGAAACCCTCCTGGCAGAAGTGATGGCAACAAGGAACACTATCTTCAGAGTCAGGAAACGGAGAGACACTGTTCTAAGGGGTTCAAAGGGGGGCTTTGTAAGGGCATTAAGGACCATACAAAGGTCCCAGGAAGGATATCCGTGAACCACCGGAGGACGCAGGTTGGAAGCCCCTTTCAAAAACCTCCTGACTGAAGTGTGATGGGATAAGAAAGGAAGCAAACCCCATGAAAGGACCGAGGAGAGGGCCACAACCTGCCTGCGTAAGGTATTGGGGGCCAAACCTTTCTCCAGCCCATGCTGAAGGAAGCTAAGAACTTCTGACAAATGGGCTGAAGCAGAAGAAAGACCCTCCCTGAGGCACCATCGGGAAAAAGCCTTCCAGGTGGCATCATAGATGCGCCTTGTAGAAGGTTTGTGAGACGCCAGGATAGTGAGGATGACCCTTTCTGGAAGATCAGCCTCCTTGAGCCGCTGCCGCTCAAGTGCCACACGGTCAGCTTGAACCACTGCGGCTCTGGGTGGAGCAGGGCCCCCTGGTGAAGGGAGATTAGATGGGCTGGGATCCTCCAAGAAGAAGCCACCAATAGGTTCACCCAGTCCACAAACCAGGGCCTCCTTGGCCAATAGGGTGCCAGGAGGAGGAGCTCCGCACGTTCCTCCAACATCTTCCAAATTACTGCTGGAATGATGGGAAGCGGGGGAAAGGCATAGAGGAGACCCTTGGACCATTGCACCAAAGAGCATTGGTCCCCTCCGCTCCCTGGCAAGAAAACCTGGTGAAGAATCTGGACTTGGGCGTTTTGAGGAGTGGAGAAGAGATCCACCTCCCGTGTTCCGAATCTGAGGGAAAGGTCCCTGATTAGAGACGGAGGAATGGATCATTCTGCCTGGTCGACTAGGCTCCTGCTGAGCCAGTCAGCCAGGGAGTTGTTGACCCAGGAGATGTGGTCCGCTGAGATTGACAACAGGTGTTTCTCTGCCCATAACCCCAACCGTAGAGCCTCTCTCATGAGGGCTTTGGAATTCGTCCCCCCTTGCTGGTTGACATGAGCCTTTGCGGCCATGTTGTCCATAAGGACTAGAACATGAGAGCCGATCACTGATTGCCTGAAATGCTTGAGAGCCAGAAAAATGGCTCTGAGCTCTAGCCAATTTATGGGAAGGGTCTGCTCTGATCTGAACCAAACGCCCTGAGCTATCTGGCCCTGCATATGGGAACCCCAACCCAGGAGGCTGGCATTGGTGGTTATCACTAGCCTGTCTGGGTCCCTGAATGGGAGTCCCCTCCAGATTGACGGGGAAGGCCAACAATTGAGAGATATCCGGATTTGTGGCAGGAGTGGGACCTTGATGGATGAGTGGCTGGTTTCTGCTCGTTGGTAGGGAAGCAAGAACCATTGGAGGGGTCGGGAGTGGAGCTGAGCCCACGGGACGATGCCAATACAGGAGACCATCTTCCCCAGAAGTTTGGACAGCAACGACAAGGGGACAATTTGATGTTGCTGGATCTGGCTGATGATCTCTGCAAGGCTCTTTCCACGAGCTGGGGACAGAAAAACCTGGCACAACATGGTATCAATGACTGCTCCCAAGTGTTGCAATTTGGTTGTGGGAGAGAGCTCTTTTTGGTGTTGATGGAAAATCCGTGGCTCTGGAGACACGACAGGATAATTTGCAGATCCCGATGGGCCGCATGAATGGAAGAGGATAGAATCAAAATGTCATCCAAGTAGCATTGGATCCTCACTGGACTAGAATGCAGAGATGCCATCAATGCTGCCAGAACCTTTGTGAAGACCCTTGGAGCCGATGAGAGGCCAAAGGGAAGTGCTCGATACTGGTAATGGGTATTCTGATAACAGAAACGGAGAAACTGGTGATGATGAGGCCAAATTGGGATGTGGAGGTAAGCCTCAGTGAGATCAATGGAAGAGAGGAGGTTGCCCTCCCGAACTCTCTCTAAAATAGAATGCAGAGTCTGCATTTTAAATTGCAAATTTACAAATTGGTTGATAAATTTTAGTTCAAGGACAGCTCGCCATCCCCTTGAGGCTTTGGGAATGATGAAAAGGCGAGAGTAAAGCCCATGTCCCCATTGAGAGGGGGGAACAAGTTGAATAGCCCTGATTTCAAGAAGGTGCTGAATGGCCTGATTCATGAGGGCTTGCCTGGTAATTGCGCTTGAGGGACTGTTCAGAGCATTTATTATCCGGTTTCAAGATATCTTCTGGCTCTGTGGGAGTGACAGAAGATGAGAACGAGGCCAGAACTGGAATGTCAACTGAAGGCACTGCCAGGGCATTGTCCAGAGCTGCGCTGACATTGTAGAAATGCTTATCCAGAGAAGATGGACCGAGGACCTGCTGAAGGGGAAGCACACTGTTCCTTGACCATGTCCAGGAACAAAATGGGAGAAGGCAAAATCTCTGCATGCACTACAGGCTTGGAGAAGAGCGAATCCCCTTGGCTAGAGGGATTTCCTTGTGGCTCGGGAGCCATTTCCTCTGGCGACAGCTTGGCAATGACCAAGGCCTTGCTGAGTAATGGCCTGAAGAGAGTAGGTTTGAAGACCAATGCAGAGGATGTCTGCTCTGGGCGAGAATCCTCTTCCTCTGAAAGTTTTTGGTCAAAAATCTCGCCCTCTTCACACTCTGAATGAGAAGAGTAACTGTATTCAGATGGTGAAGGCCTTCCTCCCTCATCAACCTCCTCCCATTCTGGTAGAGAAGAATGGACCCTGAGGTCCTGGGGCCTGTGTAAATCAGGACGATGAGGCAAGGAACTTATAGATTGAGAAGGGAGAAGGGCCTGAACTCTTTCCAGAGGTGAAGAATTTGCTTGAAGCCTTCAGCCAATCCCTGCCTAATGGCCGATGAGACAACATCTTGGATATCCCCTGGTCTATGGTCAAAGGTAGAGGCAGAAGGCAGAAGGCCCGCTGCTGTGGGAGTGAAGATGGCTTCAGGCCTACATTGAGGAGAGGTTTGAGGCCTGGAGGGAGGGGGAGGAGCATAGGGCCCAGAAGCCTGTTGGAAATAAGGCCCAGATCTGCTTAGGTCCTGAGGATCTGATTGTACTGCAAGAGCCTCAGGAGACCAGGATGGAAGATGGAAAGGCTAATAGATAACTTCTCCTCCCCTG